AGACACGACATCCGAAGTGATTTTAACTATCTTACCCCTAAAAAATAGACTAAAAGTATGTATGGACGAAACTATGCAATTCAAGGACGGAGACAACACGGTGCTAAGACACCGGGACACGGTGTGTTGTACGAAAATATGTTTCGAATAAAAACTATCGCAAGTGTACGAATCGTTCAAGTAATAAAATGGAGTTTAGACTCCAAGTATCGTTCCCACAGAGATTTACTAGTTCGATTTTACCTATTTTGACATTAATCGAAACGTAAAATATGGTTGAGTTTTGTAACTAAATTGTAGCTAAACTAAATGAAAGCAATAGTGGATGAATTAATTGAAATAAATGCAAATTATATGATTGAATACAAATTGAAGTAACTCATAGAAAAGAAACGCACTAAGTTCGCAAATCCTCATATAATAATCCATTTTAATTCTAGTTCTACATGACAATATGTTTGAATTGATGAAGAATCAATATTATTAACATATTCAATAATCTCTCTCGAGTAGAATTGAACATATTCTCGCATACCATTTGATTATATTTCTGTGACAAATACAATATACAAGAATGCATGACATTTTGTAAACACTTAGAGATTCACGTAGAGTATAGCGGTATATTTCTATCCCCTATCGGACCCTATGATGATTTTTACCCTATCGAGCTTACTTCTTTTCTTTCGAATGCATAAAATAAGCCACCACACTCATACAACTATTGCGCATATAATTGTAAAGAAAAAACAATGTATATAAATCATTCAATAATTCAAAATGCGTTTTAATTTCAACAAAGTAAAACTAGAAATTAAAATATCACATAACAATGTTCATCGTTCACCTAGCACGTATAAATCTAGCCTAATATGATAGAAGAAAAGAAATCAGAAAATTTAATAAAGAACGACACCACCAATTTAGATTCTTGAATTGATTTTTCGTGTTGTGATGTTATTCTCCTTGTTTGTGCCTTGATTTCTCTCTCAAACCTTTCAAAAGTCTCCTCCTAGGTCTGCCTAGAGTTTGAGGACGGCTTTAGAGTTTATATAGTTGTCAAAAGATTGGTTTGCATAAGAGTTGGAACGAAATAAGGAAACTAGAATTTTCGCGCCCAGATTGAACCATGCGACTGCATGGTTATATCCCATGCAACATCATGGTTATAAAAATTTGGCACTATTCAACTTTTGTTGGTACTTGGGCGACTGCATGAACTTTCTATCATGCGACTGCATGGTAGAGCGTATTTTCCTTTTGGTTCACCTTGGTCCCCAAATTTTATTTCATTTACTTTTTGGCATTGCTTCCTTCCCCTTCCTTTTCTAGCATTCCTTGACATCACAATGTATTACTTAGCTCAAGCCTATGCTTGATTCGTCATTCGGGTCATCTTCTGAATAATTGTATTTTAGTACTCGAAGTTTCATTTTCTTCCAATTTGGTCGCATATTTTTCATTCCATCCATCAATGTAATCCTACAAACACAAATTATATCGAATTAAGCCATATTTCAACATACACATCAACAATTTTTCATGTTTTGCCTAAATAAGTGTGCAAAACGCACTTATCACAGTGCCTTGACGTCGTGACATGGTGCCTCGACATTGTGGCACGATGCCTGACGTGGGCTTTGACATTGTGCTACGGTGTCATGACGTCACATTGTGGCAGCAATAACAAATGCAATAAAAACGACATCAACATGACAAACAAACAACCCAAGAGTGATCAAGCGTGTGAATGAGTATCAACCAAATAACATGAAGCTCAAATAACATTGAAAAATTGTTTCTAAGACGTCGCGTGAGTGTACAATCCAATGAATTCATTTACATTTTCTTCCAAAAACCTAAGCCTAACCCAATTTCCATCAACAAATTCAACACACCACAAAAAAAACTTGAACAACCACAAAAAACGCTACACGCATTGCCAAAACATGCAAAAATCAAGAATAATTCACTCAAATGATGCAATGTGAGATGAAACTAAATGGAAATCATCCAACCCTGAAGTGGTAATAAATAAATTAAGGCAAGAAAAGCAAAATCCCCAAAAAAATGTGAAAAATTGAAGAACTAGGGTTTTCGATTTTTACCTTGTAAATATGTGAAGAATTGATGAAATGTGGTGCTCGAACTCCAATTCAAGATTGAAAGTGAGAATTTAATATGGGTGCGAAGATAGGAGAAGAAAAATCGAGAAATTAGGGAAGGAAATGAAGAACAAAACTAAAAAAGAACGTTAAAATTCAAAAAAGCGGGCTGTCACTCGAGCGATAAGCGAGCGAGACAACCTCTGCTTTTATTGCCCGAGCGATGCTTAGCGATGAGTTGGTGAAAAACTTCTGACACAAATAGTACTGAATTTTTGAAAATGTCGAAAAATAGCCCCCATTTATTATTTTATAAAACAAGTCTTCGACATACAGATGAACTCAAAAATGCATGTGTTCACAAGTATTGCATTATTAATAAAAAAATTTCCACGTACTCAAATTAAGTTCAAGTGGAGTAAAGTGTATAAGTAACTCACGTATGTTAAGTGCCACTATTTTCTCGTGAACATGACTCCAAATCTTAAATTTGTGAGAGATGGCATGCGAAACATCACTGCCAATAAGTGTATTTCTTTACTTATGAAAGTCAAACCCATAAGATTATTATGACCTAAAAATGAAGCTCATGTAAACGTATATTTTTCTTTTCTCCATCAGATTTTGAGCATATATTATTATTATTATTATTATTATTATTATTATTATTACTACTACTATTCTTCTCATATCATCTGTCTCCCTACATCTTATGTGCAGACTTTTTCCATTAAACGACTAAAATGACCCTTATAGCGAGCGTCAGGCCGGTTAACCCAAGTCAGTTGACCATAGGCACCAGGTTATGAAAAACCTCGCAAGCTTAATTGATCGATTCAAATAGGCTCCGAAAAAGAGTATAAGATGAAACTTTTTTTTATGATAAGGGGACAATATGTGAGCTTAGGTCATCTAAATGAAGTTTAATTCACATTCAAGGTTACCTTATCAACAGATGACTGTCATCCCAAATATCAAACATACGGTCCAGACTCACTCACAAGATCATAGTGTTTGCTATGCAGATGGTACATGAAGAAACATATACTCAGTACTCCACATTTAACCTAACCAAGTAATGTAAACTACAGTACGGATAGGATGAATGCATACTTGGTTACAAACTCAGTAATTAAGAACATCATGAAATGTCCAATAGCAAAAAAAAAATATTTTTTTATTTTTTTTAAATCAAGAACTTTAAAAGCAAAACAAAAATTAAAACAAATAACAAACAAATGAGATGCACGCAAGAATGAAATGAGTAAATTGAATACAATAGAAGAATTCGATCGAATACTACATTAGGTTATGAATCTTGAATTAAGGTGATCAATATATGAAATTGTTATGTCCTAATATTCATAACATATTGGAATTTTCAATCATCCATTGTTTGCAATTTTTTTTATATTTTCAATTAGTCAAAAGTGGTTAGGAAAAAATAATCACAATCATCATAAATATTTTACTTGCTTTTGTCAAATAAGAGTCAAGAAAAATTAGATTAAGTCCTAAAGTATAGTTTTCGTGGGAACGATATCTAAACTCAAATATCCACTATACTACTTGTTACAATATCTTACACTTGCGATATCACTTTCGAAAAAAAGAAAAAAAAAAATCTTTCCCATTCAAACTTACACAAGATCGAAACTTTCAACAAAGATTGGGGACTAATTATGAAATTTACCCATTTTAAAATAAGCCAAATAATGTAGCGTTTTTGTTCATTGCGCATTCTGAGGCTTACATTTCTTCACTGGTATAATTCACCTCCAACTCTCCCCCGGCGATCTACACTCTACAGGTAATTACCATATGGTCTCCCTTTAATTGCCTTGGTTCTACCTCCAATTACTTTCCTTTTGTTCTATACTGTAATTAAATTCGTTAAACAGGAATCGAAATTGAATGAGATTCGATCATTCTGAAATTCCTACTATTTTGTTATATGTTTAATTAGTAATTGTTCAAGATTCTGCTAGAAAATTATAATGGATAAGTGTAGATTATGTGGCTATTTTATCTTCAGTAAATATAATATTAGAGAAACTGAAAACGCTTAACAATTTAGAAGGTGTGCTGCAAATTTCTGTGTTGGCGATGATCTACAACAAAGGTGGATATTGTTGGGGAAGTATCCCTCATTTGTTTGTCACTGAGTAAAATTGTATTATGGTCGAACTTGGTTTAATTATTCAACGTGATTTCAATCTTACGAAAAATCTTGGTTTATTTTAATCTTCGAGTCAAGTGCAAGCCTGGCTCACTTTATTAATGAGCCAGTCTTAGACTAGCTTTATTTTAACACAATCATGAGTCGTAAAGGTAAAAAGGACTGTCACGAGTCAGGCCTAAACGGTTTGATAATGCATGATATGATGTTTGAACAAAGATGTGTAAATTGTTAAACTTGGAGACGAAACCAATGCATAACAAGGCACAGTTGAGCAGGTTGAGGCAAACTCTACGTAGGTTTTTTTCTTTTGTTGATTAAAGGTTAGGTTTAAACATCCCCATCATAAATACTCAAAACCACTTTCGAAATGGTTAACTTTGATGGGATCTAAATATGAATAAATGTGGTGTAACTTAAAATTTCAAGGTTAAAGGAACTAACAGATAACAGCAATTCTTTTTCTTTTTCTTTTTATTTCACACACAATCATTCATCAAACTCTGTTTTATGAAAGGTTTCAGAATGTGAATGTTATTGTTTTCTTGTTATAATTACAAGCTAACTGTTAAAGGTGAATGACATTTGTTATTCTGGAGTCAGGTGTGGCGAAATACTATACTGATTCCAAGTATCGATTTGTTTGGGAGAGGCAATCATTATACTAGTAGCCTTAGTGGAATGAAAAGAAAATTCAAATGTTAGGCTTTCCAGTCATGTTGGAGGGGTATGCCTCCTCTCTTCCTCTACCAGCCTTCTTATTAGAAGGCACTGGCTTTGGGGTCAACGGTGTTCGGTCCTATTCTTTATCATGCCCAAGATTAATAAGAAATCCTATTTTAAAATCTTCAAGTTGTAACCTCCTCAATTTGAGGTCCTATGTTGGCCGTAATTCGGGAAACAGTCCTCATACTGACAATAATGACAACGAAGATGACCAGGATGCTTATGAAGTCTCTGTTGAGCCTGAAAGTTGGGATGACAGCACTGAGATAGAGATAGAAAAGACAGGCAAGAATAGCCGTAGAATACGATCAAAGGTAAACGTGGAGGCCAGCCTGCAAACTGTCTGGGACATCTTGACAGATTACGAAAGGTTGGCTGACTTTATTCCTGGCCTTGCAGTCAGCCGCTTGCTTGAGAAGAGTGATAATTTTGCCCGTCTCTTTCAGGTCTTGTACTTATTTATATCTCTTCGCAGTGTTATTTATTCTTAAACAAACTAGGGGCATTCTGTTGATTTGATTCTACGAATTTGTAATTAAATTTTCTTTTTGCAAATGTCTCACACGAGTACTCCATTACCCTGAATTTAATTGATGGTGGCTTGTTCTTAAAAAATATCTAAAACCTTTGTCATTGCTCAGGTCATTACATCAGTATTTGGCGTCACAGTTATTATTGCTTATGTATCTATACGTTGTTTATGCACTAAATGATTTCCTTGGAAATGAAAGTCCAAAAATATGCTTTATTATAATTATAGATATTTTTTTCCAAATACACAAGAATAGCCTGCTTAATTTGTATTCTCTCAGCAATCTTATCCGCTCCCTGTATTATTAACCTTAGTTCTATCCTTACCATGCACCGAACAGATTGGGCAGCAGAATTTGGCATTTGGACTCAAATTCAATGCCAAAGGTGTTATTGATTGTTATGAGAAAGACCTTCAGACTCTTCCCAATGGCCAGAAGCGTGATATTGAGTTCAAGATGATTGAGGGCGACTTTCAACTGTTTGAAGGAAAATGGTCTGTTGAACAGGTATATTTCTCCCTTGATTCAACTTTTACATGTTGTTTCTAGATTTTCATTTCTCTTATGCACACTCTGTGGTTGCAGTTATTGTCTTATAATATGTAAATGCAACTGTGCAAAATCACTGGGTGAGGACAATAAATTTGGGGGATGCTGAAAATATTTGAAGATTGTATTGGACCCTTAAAATTATATTTTAATCTTCAGATGGTAGGACTTCCTTTCTCTCTGGAGAATTGTCAGCTTCCAACTTCGTGTGAGTTGGGCAGAGCTACCTTAATTTTGAAAGGGATCAGTTTCCCCCTCTGGGCTTTGGGCTTATAAGTACGTGGACTGGGGATTCAAGACTTCATCTCCAATAGATCAAAATTTTATTTTCAAGGAAATTTAAGGGGGGGCGCTTTACACTTTAATTAACTGAATTTTTAATTAACCACAAGTTATAATGCGACGGAGTGCTGCTAATGCATCATGATCAGTTGTCAAAGAGTGCTTTCACACATGTACCATTATGTAGAAAGTAGGCAATCAGCTGAAAAGTAAGAGGATGAACATGCATGAAAAGAAGTTGCTGGTCCTAGGATTTTGGACAGGAAGGAAATTGGGTTATGACATATGATTCTGTTAGTGGATCATTTGATACCGAATAGATGAACATTTTTCTTCTATTCTTTTTAATCTGTATGCTAAATCTTTTCGCTTTGAATAACTTAAAGTACAAAATGCTTGTTAAATAGAGTTTGTTTTGGGAGTTGTACATCAATTGGAATCTGAATTTTTTTCTAGGTCACAAGACTAAGAGGTCTTCAGTTCAAGTCCCTAATTATGGGAAGAAGCTCACACAATTTATTATATATATGTTTAATCAAAAGTTCAGTTCAAAGAAAAATGAGCATGTGCAAAAAAATTAAATAGTTGTTGATAGGTAAGTACTCTCAAGTTCTGCATTATGCTTTGGTTGCTCAAAGTAAATCTCATGATTTGTATCAGTCTAAAAACTTTTATCGTTCTTCAGGGAGTGGAATGCAATACAGAAAGTGAACGAAGTGGTTCTATCGTTGGCCAGGATTTGCAAACAACGCTTTTGTATTCTGTTGATGTGGAACCCAAATTGTGGTTGCCTGTACGCCTAATCGAAGGCAGACTCTGTAGCGAGATAAGAACGAATCTATCATGCATACGAGTAGAAGCTGAGAAAGTATTTCATAACTCACTTTCTGCTCATTAGTGGCTTACTAGTTGGCTTTGCTGATTATCCCTAAGTATGAAAAAACACTATTAGTTATCTTCTTGTTCTGTTCATTAACGGTGTCCTTGTCAGTTCGTACTAACACAAAAGTCAAGAGAGAAAAGTAATTAAAATTTTACAATGTTGAAATGAGAGACTCTTGTAAATCTTAAGATTATTTTGTTAATGAACGTAAGGTTTTGCTTGTTCATTTGCTTGTTTCATTCTAGTGCTGGTCGTTCAACAAGAAAAGAGAAGTGATGTTCATATTCATCCTATTTCAGGAATAAAATAACATGAGCATGCCTCAAGACATCAAAATCAAATTGTTCGTCAATGGCTCAGGAGTAAGTCTTCTTTTGGATTCTTTTAAAGCCCTTCTGTCGAGAGAACGTTATTTTCTGTTTCTATCAAGATGTGTCCCTTCGAACTTCAGGGCAACCTGGCTATGAGGTCTTGAAAAGACCTAAATGGAGTGTGAGTGAAGTTGTGTACTATACACAATAGCAGGTTTACACAGAGTTTCATTTCATGCTTGCTGCACGGCAGGTCCTACACTACGCTCTTCAATTCATCATTTAGCAAATCATACACTCCGGTTTTATTCAAGAAGTGAATAGTAGCATAGATACCATAATTGCTTGAAAATAACCTGTTTAAACATAAATATTTTGTGTATTCCCAAATGTAATCAAAATTGTTCATCGTTTTACACTGGCATGTTTATTGTTTTCTTGAAGTTGGATAGTGTTGGAATTTTTAACACTTCCCATGTCTTACATATGCACAAATAACAATTGACACTAGGTTTAGATTAACTGATTTAAGGGGAATTTTTAACACTTCCCATGATTTACATATGCACAAACAACAACTGACAATAGGTTTAGATTAACTGATTAAGGGCTCTTTGGCAATGCTTTTGAAAAGCTGAAAGTTGTTTATGATATGAAGAAGCTGATTTTGAATATGTTTTAAATAATTTTTTGAAAATATTTTATCTGACTAGAAGAGTTTCTAATAAAAGTTAGCCTAAGGTTCTCTTGTACAAGAAATAAAAGCAAAAGTAGAAGTCTTGTCATACGGTCCCTAAACAAAATAATGATATCCATGCTTATCTACAACAATTTAGATGTCAATTAAGTGATTGAATATCTTAAGCAGGACCAATCTTATAGTTAATAAGTCCAATCATTTGATGTCATTTATTTTGACACAAAGCAGTCTGAATGAATAACATTATTTGATTAGAGAACACAATATTAATTACTTTACGAACTTTAATTTACTTTTAAGCAATTCAAACCATTTGTAACTTTTTACTTTAAAGTTTAGTCAAACACATTGAAATAAGTAAACCTAAATCTTCATTAAAGAAGGATTAATAATGTCTTCACTTAATTCATGTAGAGAATGAAGTGTTGCAAGTGGGCAACGAAACTGATTTCTTATCTAAACCAGATCATCTGAAGTTATACTTAAAATAAGGTTATTCATTCAAGTTTACTAAGATCATGTACACAACATACAGGGATTGAACATTGCCATTCATCAAAGGTGCAAAAATAGTACAACAGTTGACTTGATTATCAACTAGCAATTTATTATATACACGTACTAACGATACAGACAAAAAGTCAAATGAATTTCTAATCAGATAGTGATGAAACGATCCACTTGAAGGCGGCAAAAATAGCTACTTTCATCTTATTCAACATCAAAATTGGCTTTCAGGCTCAAGTAGTGCAATCAAAACGTGGTTACAAGACCCATACCCAACTCCTCGGCGAGTTCATCCCACACTGGAAGGAGCGTCAATACTACGAGGATAATTGCCATTGTAAAAACCGTCTTTCGCCAAGTGCCAACTTCTGTTACGTCGTTCAAACATGGTTTCTCGGGAGTCCTCTGCATATGGTACACATAATAGTTATAACACTTCTCTGCCCAAAATCAAAATCATAACTCCAGTGCCGTTTTTTTTTTCTTCATTTCGTCTTGTGCTTCTAAAGGTTTACTTACCTGACATATAAGCACATATAATCCCCAAGGAAGCGATAAAGGCCCACCGAGCTGACAGTAACAAACAGGAAACCTTTAGCAAAATAATCGTTTCTGAACAAGTAAATCGAAGGAAGGTAAATCCTTAACAGGGAAGTTCGAAACAAAGCATTTGGCAAAGTGCCCAGCAACGATAGTATTGACATTGGGAACCCATCCACCCCAACCACCTAAAAAATAAAGAAAACCTATCCTCCATAAAAAGGAAAGATAGAATGAAAGAAAAAGGCACCCACCAGAAATGAAAAAGGGAGGAAGAAAGGGTAGTAATGGAAGCTTTAGTAGTAGAAGAGAGATCTTTCAATATATTCTGTTCTTATCTACCACAACCATAAAACCATATATTTAATATTCAGGATATACTAAAATGAAAAACGAACTTCAAAAAAGATGGACCAATTGAAGACAAATCATACCACTCCTAATCCCAGCAATGTGTAAGTGGCCAAACCAGAAGCAATCAAGGCACCTTTTCCAAATGCTCCCTGTTGAAGAATATGAGAAATAATAGTTCTTAACCTCATCATGGTTTGAATGTACACAATTGGTTCCTAATAAAATTAAAAATGCACATAAATACCCCAGCACATGCAAAGCTAGAAAATGAAACTAAAATATAATTGAAGAGCTATCTGAACAATATGTTCAATGGTGTGCAGAAAGCTACTCAGCGCTTAATGGCAATATTTAAAGCTTTCAATAATTTATCAAAGTTTCACTTTGGCTGAAGCAGTTCTCATTTACAAACAGCTGTTTTCAAGAAGTTCAAAATAGTAGCAATTCCAAGCTAAAGAATGAAAAAACGATGTAGACCATAAATGTGAAAATTGCAACTGGATTGTAATACAGGACAATCATATGATCCAAGTCGATCAACAATGAAACTATAGATTCAATGGTGAGCGGGATGAAAGTAGGGCCATAAGTAGGCTATCAAGATGTTACGATTTCATAAGGACCCAACTTTAGGCCAAATGAGTACAGAATCACATCTACGATTGTAGGATTTTACAATCTTTTGGGCAAATTGGGCAAACCTGTTTGAGGGCTAAATCATCCTTTCTTTTTCTCAATTTTAAGTGGTTTTTCTGGTTCACTCACATTTATATAGGAAAAAAGAATATTAGCAGCTCGACACCTTTTTGGTACATAAAATATGGAAAAGGATTTCTATTTCCACATTGCAGAGCATTGAACAGATATTTCTACCAGTTGTAGTTGAACTAGTTTCATATTTAGATTTGCCTATGATTTATTTTCGGTTTAGTGTTTACAAATTTGAGGTTGCCCCCACATCTTTAAGTTTAACGAGTGTGAGAGGTCCAATCTACATCATGCACCTTGAGAAGACATAACAGTAATACTACCTGCATAGCTCTTCCACCATCAAGGCATCCAATAGGGAGCATATTAAAAGCTGTCGTCGTTAACCCACACCTGCAAGTAAAGAGCTTATCAGTAAGCATATTGACATTGAAAAGACATAACAATGCTAGTCCCACAATGATACTTCACCAGCCAGCAATAACAAGGGGATGGATTGAAACTGTTGCTGCATGCATTGCCCTGTGAATGTACATAACAAAGAATCAAATGGCTTCCATTAAAGGATTGAAAAGAAATTAAGTATGAGATGATTTCAATGAATAATCACATCGGTTTAAAAGTTAGACAGGACAATCATATTCATACGTACTAGTTACATATAGACAACAAACTTAAATAACAAATCTTTTCGTTCTAAAATGGAATGTGACTTCCAAATTCGAAGGAACACAGAGGGGATGACTAGGATATCTACAGCTTATGACCAAAATGATAAATGAAGTTATAAATCCTGAACAGCTTTTGGTTTTATGAAAACGTCTTAGCAGAGATAAATTACAAAGGCAACTAGAGAACACTTACGTATAACCAAGAGCAGCCCGACTAACAAGTCCAAGAAGCAAAGAGCCTTGAAAAAGCAAACTAGGAACCTGCACTAAATCTCCTGCCACGGCTGGATTTGATGAAAGTAGCAGGCCAATGGTGAACATAGATAAAGACAATGCAGCACCTGCAAATGGTCCGGACAAAGAAATATCTACTTTTGTTTTTCGATCAGGCAGAATGGACTTGAACTACAAAGGAAGGCAAAGGGGGAAAAATGTAGAGAACAGTGTCAATGATTGATGAATAGTCAAAAACACAGATGCTATATAAATTGCAGTGCAAAATGTGTTAGAAACTTAATTAGGCAAAAAGGAAAAGAACACAAATGAATGAGCAGTTGTACCTGGATAGAAAAAATTATAATTAAGGATTTATAATGTTCTAGAAATGAGTACAGAGGGAAACCATGACAAGACCACTGGAATAAAATTAACATTAGTAATGGTGGTTCAGGACGTTATGTGTCTTCATAATACAGGAACAGAATTTTTCAGCTCTTCATATGAAGTTCAGCATAGAGATCATATGAATATGTTTATCCTCACATCTGAACATGGACTAAAGAATACACTCAGAATTCACGGGATACAATTTTACAGGAGCATCATTCACCTATAAGAATAGCAGAATGTTTCGCTAGACAGAGTACCTAAGTGTAATGCAAGGTCATATTTATATTTAGTAAAAAGCAGCTTTAAAGGCAACTTTCCTTGCAAAGAAGATAAATGTAAGAGGACTTTGAACTGGTACTGAGAATGCTGATTTCTAAACCAGGGAAATCAAACCTATTTTAAGCTAAGGATTGCAAAAATTGTTTAACCTGTGTTGATGCTGTGTTATTGTTTGACAAACATACAGATGGTGTATGAAGAGTTTTTCCCTGGCAAGTAGATAACTGTCTTGAATTCAGTTGCAAGTTTGCAATATGTATCAGGTGAAACCTATGTCAAAAAGGTTTTATCTATTTTATTAATGTGAAATTTTCAATCGCCTCCTAGTATTAAACAAAAATAGCATAGGGTGCAAATTCGTGTCCGCCTATAGCAACTAAATATAAAATAAAAATGAAGACAATCATATGTCTCTAGATATCAATATATCTGTAGAATGGTAGAAAGAGAATTCTGTGACTCTTAAAGCTCTAAAACGATCTTAGGGATGTGAAATTTCACTCCTTCATGCATCTGCATGTTGCAACCTGAATTGTAGGCTATCATTCCATTTGAGCTGATCCAGAGTATTTGGCAAATAGATAATCAGGCTAGACAAAATAAAATGATAACTAGTTATGAAGATTTCAAGGATTACCAGCTTATATGAGATCATTACTTCTATAAGCCAGATAAAGCAGGGATTCTAATGGAAACAAATAAGAAATAACTATTTGGGGAAAATAAAAGAAGAAACTCCATGTGTAACTTTGTTTCACCTGAGTAATTGCTCCAAAGCTTCCAAGGGTAATGTTCGGAATAAAGTAAGGAATGCTTAATTTCACCTTCCTAGGAAATGCAGCCAGAAAATGTCCAACTTCCTGCAGTAAATTAACTCCTTCATATAGAAATTATATCAAACGACAAAATATTGGAAAGCACAAAAACATCCTCTCATTTACTCGAAGCAAGCAGTTAATAAATAGATATACGAGCCTTTTTAAATTGAAAGTCTTTACGTGCAAAACAAGAGGTTATATCTGATTGCTCGTTTTATACAGCTAAAAAGAAGATAACTACAAAAAAATCGAGCCTTGGAGAATAATTTCTGTTATCTGACATGGTTTTGTCTTAAAAGATGTTCAATTAGCTAGCACAAAGAAAATCCACTCACGTGAAACAGCTGAACCCCCAAGACACCATAGGCAAGGGGCAAAGCAGAGTCCACAAATGGTACTAGAAGCTGCATATCTGGTGGTTCAATGGCATTTGGATCTGTGAAGTATTTGACCACCTCTGGAGGAAGTCTATTTATCTGCTTAGTGAAAAATTATAAACTCACTCAGGTAGTTTGCAATAGAAATATCTTTGATGACCGGTAATTATATAAACCAAGTTCACACATGGCATCAACAGATAAATATCTAGGGGGTAATCAGAATACCTGAGATGCTATTCCTAGCTCCACTGAGGAACCAATGGTAAGAAGAAACAACAGAAGAGCAATCACATACTGCCAAAGAGTTGTTGGAGTTGGTTCTGAGACCTCTTTCCGTAGCATACCAAAGCTGACACGAGGACCACCACGCGGATCTGGTCCTTCAGCATTAGGTTCCTCCACCATGAACAGGTTGTACTTATCTCCCATTATTTCAGCTAGCTGAGTTTGAAGTTTGGCAAAAACATCCTCCCTCTTTCCCCTAAGATTGCCAAGGAAAATAATGCCCTCTCCTAGATCCCCAAACGGCTCCTCTTTGGTTACCCAAAAGGTAGAATAGCCAAAAAGCTTTTCCTTAATAGCCTTTACATCAGCAGGATCAACCTTTTCAGGCCCTAGAAGTTCTATCAATTTAAAAGAGTCTACTTGGAAATTATTATAAGATGATCCAATAGAAGATATAGTCGGCGTCTGAGAACACAAAAAAAAAAAAAAATTAATCGATCAGAGCCATCATTTTATCTTCCAATTTCTGACAAAGTACATGCAAGTAATTGTTTTTCAATATAACTATCATTCAGGTCAATTCAGTCCAATAAAATTCAGTGACTGTTAGCCCTAGAAGTTCCATCAATTTAAAAGAGTCCACATGGAAAATTGTAAGATAATCCAATAGAAGATATAATCGGCATATGAGAAAACAAAAATATTAATTGATCAAAGCCATCATTTTATCTTCAAATTTCAGGCGAAGTAAATGCAAGTAATCGTTTATCAATTTAACTATCATTCATGTCAATTCGTCCAATAAATCCAGTGATTAGCTCTAGAAGTTCCATCAATTTAAAAGTGAAAAAGTCTACTTGGAAATTATTAATGCATCTCTAATGCAACCATGGATTGCTAAAAAAATTTCACATGAGCAAACTGATATAGCAAAGGAAAATGAAATAAATAAATAAATTATCTAGAACTCCATCTAAATATAGAAATTTTGTTATGCTGACTAGGTAGAATTTTCATTTCCATTGTAGATTTAGATGTGATTTTTTTTTTATTTTAAGAAAATAAAAGATAGTATTATTGTGTTGTAGGTTGATCCCATTGGAGACTAATTTTCAATATAAGTATCTATTCATTAGATATTAGGGCTGCACAAAAAAAACCGCGAAATCGCAAACCGAACTGAAACAGTTAGTTTGAAACCGTTGGTTCGGGTCCACGTGGACCCGCGGTTTTTTTCCTCAAACAAACCAAACCATTTCAAAATGGTTTGGTTTATGTTTCAATTTTTAAAAACCGCATAAAACCGAACCAAACCCTTTTTAAAATTTTTAATTAAAAAAATAATTTTATTAACTTATAAATTTTAAAGCTTTCACTTTTTAGCAAAAAATACCAATTTAGTAATACAAATTACAACTAACCCATTGAAATAATCATATAAAGTAAAGTAAGTTCATCATTATTGGTCGATGATTTTACAAGTCTAACACACGTCCTGACCCGATATTTAATCTAAACTAAAATTAATCACAAATCATATGAAATAAAAAAAAATATTTATTTTCAACAATCCAAATCATAATTCAACAAAACTACGACAACAAATCACGCCCACAACTTCAGAAGCCCTGACCTAAACTCTCATTTCTCAAACATTTGACGTTCGCCTGCCACTGTTGAACAAAATACGATTCCCAATCACAAATCGCTAGTCGCCTTCTGCTTGTTAGTATGCTAATTTCTACCCGAATCACCTCTTTCTCTCTTCTCTCTTGATAAGTCTTAGATTCCTATTCAAATCATTTTTTTCATTGTTTTTTCTTTCATTTGTTGTTTTTGAACTTATTATACACTTGAAAGTTGTGATTTAGATTTAAAAAATGAATGTTTATGTGTATAAATGATTAATGAACTTGTTTATGGTTTAGAAAGAATGAAGGATAGAGTGTATTGATTGTGTGAAAATGTTATAGTACTACTACATTCTACTTTCTCAAAGTCGTTAGAGAATAAGATTTGTCAATTTTCAATAAACATGAACTCTATCATTCTTTGTATACTTAAACATATCATGTTCGGTCCTTATTTTTCATCTTACTGGTAGGATAAAAGAAATTTTAACCAAACTATTACAGCAGAATGTGACTCTATCTTTACCAACCGCTATATGACAATATGAAAAGCAAACAAGAATAGGTAAATAAGAAGGAAGAAAGATATATTCGTTCTATTAACATCTTTTAGCAACCAACTTTGAAAATAATTTATTCACGGGTGGGAAAGATGAATGTAATTTAACATTTAATATTATTAGTTCTCGTTTAAACTTATATGTTAACTTATTTTGAATATATTATTATAATGTCGATAGGTAAACCGCAGATTAAAATCGAACCAACCCGCAATTTATGGTTTGGTTTGAAAAATAAAATGGTTTGATTTGGTTTGAAAAAATTTCAAATTGCATGAAATGGTTTGAGTTGAAAATATAGTACAAACCGCTCAAACCGAACCGTGTTCACCCCTATTAGATATCAATGACACGTAGACCGAAAGTCTTTCAACTTATATGCCACTTAGATAGCAACCCATGTAATGCATTGAAGATGCTCCAATAAGATGATCAAACAGAAGGTATAGTATATTAATCGAGCAAAGTCATCATTTTATCTTCAAATTTCTGACGAAGTAAATGCAAGTGATCGTTTTTCATTATACTATCATTCACGTCAATTCTTTCAGTAAAACCCAGTGATTATGGCAACAATAACAAATAAAGGGGAAACTCATCTAGAGTGTCACATTTAAATCCTCTTTCTTCAATTTCTAGTCTTCAAAGTTAACACCTCCCTCGCCATTTAAATCCTCTTTCGTCGGGGATCAAGACTCAACTAACGAAGCACCATAAACACTCGCCATTTTTAGACTACACCGTGTGCTAAAATACGTCCCTCCCATCATAATCGGGTATTTTTTTCGCTACTCAGTTTCCCACTCTTTCAGAAACCAACAAAGCACAAAAGGACAATCGTATGTTTGTACAATACCCCTTATAGCAATTAGAAAAAATTACATTTCTAATCCTTCCCAAATCAGCATAATCAAAAGGGAAATAAGAAATTAAAAACAATACAGGAATGGAAAAAAAATGAAAATCTCACCCGGTTCGATATAGAAGTTGGCGAATTATCAGAATTATCATCGGGCTTCTCATCAGCTGAGCTCACCGTCGCCAAATTTGAATTGTCTCTATTTTCTCCTTCACTGTTGGTAGCATTATTTTCATTCCCGGAATTATTCTTATCATTATAACATGACCTTACAATTAAATTTAACCTGCTGCAATTCCCTTTCGAAATCATTCGCCGCCTCTTCGATAGTAATGCTCCACAAAAACAAAAATTGGCGTTAATATTTTTGATTTTCACTCTGAAATTAAACCTGTTCGGAGGGGTCAATCTAAAGCTACAGCTGGTGAGTGTTGCCATTTAATTCAAATTAGTTGGCTTCTATTATGTGCTTATATACAGTGTAAGTATATCCGCCAGGTTTTCTTCAGATTTTGAAGGTTTAGGTTTTCGGTGTCAAGTTTAGGGTAGAGAGTGGGAAGAGAGATTTCTGTGGGCACACGATCATATCCTCTTCTAGCATTTAAAAAATATCTCTATTGTTCCATTTCTGTTAATTACGTAGATTTTACAAAAAAACGTGAATAAAAAAATATGAATCGTGTTAGGTATAGAATATTCGGTGAATTTTTAAAAAGTTCTTCTAAACGGTGCCTTCTGTTAATTAAATAGATTTTACAAAAATCATGAATGAAAAAAATATGAATCATGTTAGGTCTAGAATATTTAGTGTTTTGAAAAGCTCGTCTAAACGGCACCTAGACTTAAAGCGTCTCGCTTTGATTTTAGACGCTTTTTTTTTTTCAGTTTCTAAATGATTGGATTTTTTCTTTCCACTCTTTCGTCTTTCGTTCTTTATTGATTTTTTATTTTATTTCTTTGTTTTTTTAAATTCTATTATTTTATTTAGTTTATTAATTTTTTTTTATTTTTTAAGAAACTCTTTTTTTATTTTTTTACTTTAATTTCAAGTTTTAAAAAGGCTTTATACATACAAAAGTAAAAAATGACTTTATCCAATAAAAACTAAAATAAAATTTAAGTTACGTTGTTATCTACATTTAATTATGATTTTAAGATTCATTATTTTGTTCAAAACTCTGAAAGCATGTATAAAATTTCTATAAATTTATTAAATATGATTTATCTAAAATTGAAATTATGAAAAATAGTCTAATTTTTACATTTCAAAAACTTAAAAAATGTTATAATTGACGAATTATAGGAATTATTAAAAAAATATATATTATTTTACAATTTTAGATGTCTGTGATGTATTATTTTAATTATTAAATGATTTTCAAAATGATTAAAAATTTAAAAAATATTAAAAAAAAAAAAACATTTTTCTAGGTCTAAGCCTCGCTTAAACTCATAAAACTTGAAGTTTCACCTTCGTGTCTATTCACATTTTACATTTTTTTTAGAACATTGTACAATATTAACTTGTTTGACGTAAAAAAATTTAAAATAATTTCTTCAAAGAAAGTATGATTAAAAAATATTAAAAAGTTATGAATTTAGTATAAGATTATTTTATTGTAATAATGTGTAATTGAAAAAAAAAACGAGTTTTAATAAATTTGTACCAAAATAGAGCTTATATAGCATTTCACATTTTTTTTTTTTTATCATCTAGCTTTAGGGTCTGTTTGACTGCAAAGTAGGAAATGAGTGGAAAGAAAATGAATTTCACGGAATTGAATTGCCTAAAAATTATTTTGCTGGAAATTGTAATTAATTGTATTTGATTGGTATAATTTTTCACCTGAAAATGTTGAAAGTTTGGTATCCGTTTGACTTTATTTTTCAAGAAAATTTTTCCATTAAAATGATAATTTTTCTACCATTGGGTCTAGAATTTGTTCCAATTGTTAGAAAATTTTAAAAAATTACAAAAAATTACAATTTTTTTTTTTTTTTGCTATATTGAATATCATTTGTTTAGCTTTGTTTTGTATGAAAATTGTGAATAAAAGTGATAATTTTTTTACCATTGTATCTATAATTTTTCCTAATTGCAAAAAAAAAAAAAAAAAAAGTAACCTGGAAAATTTTTTCCCACCAAAGTGGTGGGAATTCATTTTCAACAAAACCATGGAAATTGTACTCGTGTGAGGGAAACCAAGAAAACAAACGCACAAGAATTTTCTTTACATTTAACTAAAATTCTAATATTTAACTAAAATATCTTCTTCAACTAAAGTATAAACACACTATTGTGAATATTGAGGATAAATATATGGCATAATATGAAGTAAATATCACAAATGCACAAGAACAAAAGACAATTTGTAGAGGAAATGAGAAATCATTAAAATATGGAGAAAGAATACAAAGATATTGTGTTTTCAATATTGTCTAAATCACAATTAAGAGCAAAGTTTATAAAGGGAATGTTTCAAACCCTACAAATAGAGTTATAGATGGAAAAGAATGCTGAAAATGCATCCAAACGGCAAAATGGGCTTAAGTTGGATGAATTGTCGCACGACCGCCAAGCGGGTAATGACTCTACCACTAGAGCAGCAAACTAGTGCCTAGCGAGCGCAACCACTTCTGTTTTGAGCGCTAGAGCGAGAGACGGGCGGGAATGCACCGAAAATTCCTCCATGGTCCATATCTTCACCAATTCAAGTCTAACACAAATTTCAAACTCTCAATTA